GCCCACTACAGGGAAAGCACGTACGAGCAGTAGGGAAGAAAAAGGAGTATAAAATAAGTACGGTAGTCACTTCAAGTTACCTCAATCTGAGTGGCTTTAGAGTGGAAGGATTGACGCCGAGCGATGTGGGGGGGAAGATGGTGACGCCATGATATTAATGCTCTAATCATCTTCTTCCGTAATTATTGCCAATGTGTGTATTGTCTCTTGGATAGAGCCTCAATTTCGACCTTGCCGTGGCTTGGGAACGAAATTGAGGTGCCGTCTTCCACTTGTGGGATTCGTGCTTGACTTATTCTGCTCTGTTTCGTGCTTATGCTCTGCTTATGCTCTGCTTATGCTTGATTTTACAACTTCAGTTGTTTATATACTTGCTTTAGTGGGATCATAGGTCCCGCCTGTCGCATTAACTTGTGTAAGGATTTATGGGTTAATTCTGGGGGGTTTTCTGGTTCCGTGTCCTTTTACTACGCTTTATCGTTGATAGTTGGCAGCATGGAACTTCTGCTGCTCTAGACGGGTGATCTATTTCACCAAGAATGGTGGGAGCTGCGCAGTGTGGTGATCGCTGCGATGCTGCGTTATGAGCCACGATAGTGCAGAGCTATGACAACGTAGTTGGACAAAGCGAAGGGGCGGGCGACCGTCGTACGAGGAGTAGGTGCAAGATGCTCTGAGGAAGAGCGTCTGTGATGATATTCAGCCGCAACCATAGCAAGGAGCGGTGTGAAATCAAGGTTGTTATCGGCGCGTGTGCAGGATTGTGCGTGATATCTATAGCACTGTTGGTGCGCATGTACGGGAGAGGAAGAGGTAGCAAGAGCGGCGGGCGCCGAGGACGGTGGTCCAATTGCGGTCGCTTCTGGATGGACGACAATAATACCGGGTGTGGAGGGAACAACAGTGCATACGCGCAAAATGTTGGAAGCTCGCATCTCGGAGGGAATGGGGGAAGCAACCCACCTCCTCCTGGTGTATTCCCGCAGTATGGAGTACCGTATTATAATGCGTATACCCCAGGGATGGGGTCGACTATCCCTCCCGCTGGTGCTGTGATGCCATTTCCGCAACCTCTGGGGCAGTGGGCGATGCCGCCCTGGCAAATTTCCGGGCAATGGACGGTGAATGGCCAATGGGGAGTGCAAGCGCAGCCAAGTGGGGTGCAGCCATTGCAACCGATGGTCGAAAATTCATAGACTGGCAATGCTCCTGCCAGTGCTCCGACAAGTCAGCAAGGAGCAAGTCAGCACGGGAGTGGTCAGTTTAATGGAGGTGGGACGGGCGGTGGGGGAAAGGGACCCTCTGCAAACGCCTTTCCAGGTCCTGGTAACCGTGCTTATTTCACAAAAGAGTATATGGATATACTCGAAGGTATAAAGATGGACAAGGCGATAGATGAGGCTAAGAAGAAGATGGCGTCTGCAGGCAGAAGCGGGGTGCGTATCGAAGAGCTGCCAACAGATAACAGTCGAATGGACAGCCGTAATACAGTGAGGAGTGACAGGAGCGAGGACATGAAGGCATGGGTGACATCTACGCTCGGAGAGTCGCCGAAACTGATCAATCAGAAACTGGAGGCGGTCGACATGAAGTCCCAGCTGAGTGCAGCCGAGAAGGCGGAGCTGGAGAAGCTACGGGAAGAGAACAATCGACGTCAGAAGAAGAGCAAGGAATCGACAAGTAGTGAAAAGAGGAAGAGAGGAGGGGGGGAGCACACTCCGATGGAAAACTCACCCTCTGCAGTCCATGCCAAGTCCAGATCGAGAGGCGGGGGGAAGACCAAAGCCAGAGCCAAGCGAATTGATGTTTCCTCAGACGAAGAGGAGGCTGGTGGAGTCAAGCACAACCTACACGCGAAGTTAGAAGGGAGTAGTGAGCTTTCAGATATCAAGAAAATGCTGGCTGCTCTCATGCAAGGGATAGGTGACAGCAAAGGGAAGAGTAAGGTAGTTGAGCCTTGCTCCGAAGAAGGAGGTGTCGAGGAAGTCACCAATATGGGAAACGTGGCGCCGAACACAGACGTCATGGAAGAAGAGGAGGAGTCGGACGAGGGTGGTTTGGCTGCCTATATGAAGATCCAGGTGGATTTCTACAACTCTCTCCACTACACCCGGGTGCAGGAACTGTGCAGACAAAAGCAGATCCAATACGTCAGAAAGGATATGGGGGTGTGGGAGCTCGCAAGAATCGATCTGCAGGAATACACAAATCAGATTAACGCGGAAGGTTCTACCGCGATCGCTGAGCCATCCCGCAAGAACGCATCCCGTAAAGAAGACCGGGCAAAAGACTATGGCTCCGAGTGTGGGGCCATCAAGGGAAACTAAGTGGTGGGAGTCTACGGTCACTACAATGGGCGGTCCGGAGGATCAGGGAATTACAGACCCTGGTGGACTGTGAGATTCAAACTCTACTTGAACGGATTCACGTACTGATCATCCTCTTAGCATGTCTCGGAGGGGATATAGCATGGGGGAAAGCGTACGTACGATTTTGGTTGAGACTGTCAACCGATGAGTGGGACGCGATATTGCAAGGGGAAGGGTGTGTGTATGTCCTAATATCGCTAAGTCATAAGTCGGTCTATGTTGGAAAAACCACGAGAACACTGAGAGAAAGATGGGCTGAACACAAGAGGGCGGTGTGTGGGGATAGCAAACAGAAAGTTCACACATGGTTGAGGAAGGTAGGGGTCGGTCATTATGTACCTATCCCCATCTGGTTCGGGGAACCGCTTGTTATTGAGAACATGGAACGGGCCATCATAAAAAGCGAAGGCCCGGGGCTGAACAAGCAAGGGTTGTTCAAGAGAACCAGTGCTCRRAGAGTGAGGGGRAAKAAGCGTTGTAAAACCAACTCWGATCCAGTGGTGTGTGRCATTTCAGAACCTCWGTTCTTCGACTGCCCCCTCGTGGAAGTTAAGCAGGACCCTGACTTACTCCGGATTTTAAAATTATTGATTAAACGAAAGAGTAAAGAGTCGGTTTCAATAAGCAATAACCCAGGTCGGCGATGGTTGAAGGCGTGGTGCCTGATTGTGTTGTTGTTTGGTTTTAGTAAAGTTCAGATTTGTGATTGTAAGCTGCTGCTCAAGGATGCAAGGGAATAAATTGAAAAAGGGGGGACGTGGTGTATAACGAGCCTACTGCAGACAAAAACAAAGACTGAACTCAGGAAAGCCGAACTCATTGCTCTATTGAGAGCTCCGTGGAAGCGGAAGGACTTGTGGGGACTAGGACTGGAAGAATTGGTTGCTTTAAATAGCTCTGTAAAAACTGTGAATCAGCAAAGAGGGAGGCAAATAATTCGTGGCCTACTCAGTAATGTCATGAAGAAGAAATTTGGCATTAATCCTCGGTTGAATGTTACGATTAAAATTCCCTTTAACACAACTGTAAATAAGCAGAAAGTGGAAAAGGAAGTGAAAGCATGGATTCTTGAGAATGTTCAACCAGTGTCGCTGGCTGATCTGTATGCGAAAAGAACCCGGGCGGTGTGGCTTAAGGCTAAGACCATCGGGGACCTCTTGCATAACCATAAGTCCTTCACGCAATGCAGCCTATTTGAGTGCAGGTGCGAGGATTTCGACCTGCCTAAAACCAACGGGCATGTCGCGGTCAAGATCAGTGACATCGGTGAGATCGACTCTTTTTGTCTTTAATGCAAAAAACGTTCCTTTTTCGGGTGCCTTGGATACTAAGGCAGGACTTAATTGTGCTTGCAATGAGGCTGTTGAAGGTCTGAGGGCTATGGGATTAGTCCAGGGCAAGGTGACCTTTGATCACCGTGTTGTTAAAAAAAGTGGTGAAAGGATGGGATCTGATTGTGTGCTGAGTGAGTATGTCACGGGGCTTAAACAAACCTTTAATGGGCTGGTCCTCTCCCCTCTCGATCGAAACACTAGTGAGACATGGATCGAATTCCCCGTGACGTACCAAGAAGGTTTGAACAAAATGTTCTTGAAGAATGGGAACTATGAGATGATAAATCTGAAACAGGAGGAAGTGTTGCGAAGGATGCAGACAGACTATCGAGATGCTGGACTCAGTAGAATTGCTAAGTGGGATAAGAAAGGTGAACTCCAACATGCCTACATCATGCCTAAGGAAAAGGACAAAACAAAACAACGTCCCATTGTTCCTTCCTACAAAAGTCCGTTTCGGGCTGCATCAGGCGTACTATCGATTGTTTTGAATGAACTCATTCGACGTGTGAGAGTGCCACACTTTAACTTACGGGCTATGAGTGATCTGAAAAATGAAATTCAAAAGGTTAATAATAGCTTTATGGGTGTGCTTGCTCGCATGTATGATATCAAAGAAATGTTTACCCAGTTACCGCACGAAGACATCAATCGTGCAGTCGCGTGGGTCGTGGAAATTTTTGCACAAAAATCAATCAAATGGATAAGGATCAATATGAGGAAAAGAACATCAACCTTTGGTAAGTCCCATGGAGAGGCCGGATGGAGATCCATCCGGCTAAAGGAACTCGTAAACCTGACAAAGTATCAGCTCGACAATGGTTTCTTTACGGTCTCCGGGCAGATTCTGCGCCAAAAGAAAGGAATTCCGATGGGAGGGCGTGCCAGCCCTCCCCTCGCTTGTGTGATGTGCATGCTGGCAGAATACTGCTTTATTCAGACCCTGGGAGTCGATCAGCGACTGATTTTCGGCAAGAGGTACATCGACGATCTCCTGGTGTTTTCCTTTTTCGACAGGAATGAGCCGGAGGACAAGGTCAGGGCCACGAAACGCTTGGATGCGGTAGCAAAGTGTTATCCAGAGCGCCTAGTTCTGGAGCGAATAGACGTCGGGAACGGGATACTCGATTTCCTAGAAACAAGAATGATCGTAACTGAAGAAAGCGGGCACGTGTTGACAACTCATAAATTCAAGAATGCAGGATCGATTTGGGATCAAGGGCAACTGCACTTTTTAACTTATAAATCTTGGGCATCGTATGGACCAAGTTCCGCAAGATATGCCACGATTGCAAACACTGTGCTGAGGATCAGGAAAAACTCCAATGATGACGGGATGGTATGTTGGGGTGTACTAACATTGGTTGAAGAACTGCGGAAATTGAAGTATCCCACCAGGGGTCTGATTGTCGAACTAAAGTGGATGCAGAGGCGGGAGAAATTCCCACTCCGGGAGAAGCTACGCGAACTGATATCCATGGTTCAGGGAAATCCGGTGGAGTGACCATGGAATCAGATTCGAGATTTACTGGCACTACCAGCGTATGTGTACCAGGGGCATGGGCACAAGGCGCGGTGCTCTTGCGCGCTCAGATTTGGAGTTACCCGGGTAAGTCAGGGGAAACACACTGAGCTGACGGGAAAAAAGTCGAAACCTCAGCCTGGGGTGGACCCGCCCAAAGGCGGGAAGGTTTTCTAGTCGTCAGCTAAAGGGGGCCGCCCAGTTGCAATGGCGGTATCATTGTCTTGTGACCAGGTACATTTGGACGAGGGTTCGTGAGGTATAATACGCGAAACCCGTATTGGTTCATCGTATGGTA